CTCTTTGTCTAATTTAATAAATCCAGGATGCTCAGCCTGCCATCTGATCTATAAGTGTAATAAATCTGCCCACCACAGTGCTCTGGCCCTGTTGTGGCCCTGTTGAGAGCCTCGTGCCTGGTGGCAGGAAGCCCAAAGGGCTCATTAGAGCCCTGCTGCTGTGCCAGCCATGCTAGCCTGGCACCTGGGCAGCTCAGGGCAGGCTGAGCCAGCCCTGTGTGTGTGCACAGAGCATGCAAGCTGGGATTTGGGAGCTGCATCCCCAGCTGGGATTTGGGAGCTGCATCCCCAGCTGGGATTTAGGAGGTCATGCCTCACCTTGCATGGCTGAAAAGGGGTGAGTCTACATCTGAAAAGGGATCTCTGCAACTCCCTGAAAGGTGGTAGCCAAGTGCGGGTCAGTCTCTTCTCAGAGCTAACAAGAGGGAACAGCCTCAAGTTGCTCCAGAGGAGTTTTATTGGATATTAGGAAAAATTTCTGTAATGAAAGAGTGGTCAAGCACAGGAACAGGCTGCCCAGGGAAGGGAGGAGTCACCATCCCTGTAAGTGTTCAAAGAACCCATAGATGTGGTGCTTGGGAGGATGTGGTTTAGTGGAGGACCTGGCAGTGCCATGGGTTGATGGTTGGAGGTGTTTCTACAATTCTGTAACTTTTCAAGGAGTTGGTGCTGTCCTGGTGGCCTCCAGGTGGGAATGGTGGATGTGGTTTTGGGTCAGGCTCCCAGTGCCATGCTGGTGCTGGGAGCTGATGACCAAGCTCTGTCTGTGCCCTTGCCCAGCTGTGGTTGTCTCCTTGTTAGCCTGATGTGGCTGTGACAGTGTGACAGCAAAGTCCTGCTCCCTTCTGTTTGCATCCTGCCTGGAGCACTGCAATCAGCTGAGCCCAGGCCCTGGGATGAGGGAAGCTTTAGCAGACACAGGAGCTGCCTTTGCAGAGCACAGGGGAGTGCTGTGAGTGAGCAGCACTCGGCAGCCACCTTCATGAATATTTTAGCTGGGAGAATTAACATTTGTCAGGGCACATTTACGGAGGCAGCGTGGATGTCTCTTCCCCAGGCTCGCTGCTGCTCCAGGGCAGTGCTGGGAGCCAGGGCAGAGCTGCCAGATCTGAGCCCAGAGTGGGGCAGCAGAGCTGTGATCTCCCCTGGGACAGCCAGGCCCCGGTGCCAAGGCAACCAGCCCGCCATGCCACATAGACAAATGGTTGTGGGTTTTTTTTTTTCCTCTCTCTTCCCCTCCTGGTTCTTGGCAGAAAGTAAAATGTCCCTTTTGTTTGGTTTCCTCCTCCCCCTGCCCCATCGCCTTTCTTTAAAGGTTGTGTTCCAGATTTCATCAACCCACGTTGTGTAATAGCCCTGGACAACAGGCTGGGCATTGGCCATGTCCCATGGAGGCCATGGCACAGCCCCTCCTCAGGAGCCTGACCCTGGGGTTACCTGCTCCAAAACATCCTGTGTACAGCTCCTGAGCAGAGCTCCCTTGTAGTTTGTATCAAGCTGCTATGTGTTAGAAATGACAGAAAAAGTCCTTGAAAAAAACCCAGAATTTTTAAAATCAAAATAATCCTGTTTTTCTAGCTCAAATAATCCTGGTTTTCTACCTCAGCCCTGCAGTGCCTTATGGAAATGAGGGACTTTGCAGATAAACCCTTTTGATTTAGAACATCAACTCCTGTACCTGGTAGTTCATCACCTGTGAAGCATCCAGCCCTGTGCAGGAGGATGCAGTAATGCCCTGCTTGGGATTTCTTCCTTCAGGCTTCTAAGAGGCCCCCATTCTTTCTTTCCTTCCTTTCCACTGCCCAAGGAGGGGGCTACTGCAGTTCTGAGCTCTGCATCCTAGGAGCATCCATCCAAAGATCCCTGCATCTCATGCAGAGCCTGCTGCTGCTGTTGATGTGGAGAGCCTGGCATGACTCACGGCCTGGGCACCCAGGGAGGGAGAGGAGGAGGAGGAAGAGGAGGAGGAGAGCTCTCTATAGGCTTTGTGTGTTACGGAGAGGGACACTGTGAGCACGTGTGTGTGTCAATAGGGATCTGTCACTCCAGAGGGAAACAGCAGCACAATTGTTTCTTGTCTCTGGTTCCTCTGCTGGCACTGGCAGCCTGGAGAGCTGGAGCTGCTCGTGTGATGCAAGTGCTCCTTTTCCTGTGCTGGTGAGGGACAGGCACTGCTCCAGTGACTGGGCTGGAGGCACCTGCTGGCACTGGTGGCCTCAAGGAGAGCTGGAGGTGGTGGCATTGATGGTGTCCTCTGCTTCCACAGCGGTACACCCTGCTGTGCTTCCACTCCTACCCCTAGTTAAATGACACACCCAGCCACCAGATACACTTCTGGGGTAGCTGGGGGCTCCATCCCAGCAGCAATGGGAGAGGGCAGAGGCAGGGCCAGCACCTGGGGACAGGACTGTCCCTCAGCTGGGGACTGGCAGCATTCAGGAGCTGAGCCTGAGCCTCCACTCCTGCCTCATCCAGACACAAAGCCACCCTGGGGTCTGGTGCTGGGTTCAGCCTTGTATCAAAGCATCTGCTCTTCCAAGGGCTGGTTCAAATCCCAGCCCTGTTGTTTTGGTGTCTCTGCCATGGAACACTTCTCTGCTTCTGCATTTATTTATTTATTCCCTTCCAACGGCTGAAGCCACACATCCTCACCTGGCCAGGGACCAGCTTTGCTCATCCTTCTCCAAGGTTCCCCAGCCTTGAGAAACCCTTCAGCCCAGAAACAGCTGCTCAGAGGTGAAGAAGGGGTCTAAGCCATCCCCTTTTCCTTGGTGCAGTTTGTGTGTGTGCACATGCATTTCCACCAGGCACCATTTGCATTTTGCTTCACTTCAAAGTGCTTGTGCTGCCTCCAAGGAAGGAAACAAATGGTGTCAAAGAATTTACATCCCAAGTGAGTGAGGCTGCTGGTCTGTCAGGTTTGATTTGCTGTCGAGGGGTGTGGGGTGCAGGGGAGCTGCAGTGGGATGGAGGGTTCATCCCCAGGGCTGCCGATGGAAAATGGTCACTCCCAGCTTTGTTCCCAGCTCTTTGCTGCTGTCCTGGCTCAGAGGTGCAGTGCTGGATGGAGACTCATGTGTCAGACTGTGCGAGATGCCAGCATTCACCTTTCACAGGGAGGGCTGAGTGGCAAAACCACTTTGCAGGGCCAGCCCCCAAACCGGCTCCTGGGCTTCGGTCAGGGCTGGGCGTGGGCAGCAGGAGCAGCCACCCTGCACTGCCATGGCCTTGCAGGGTGTTGCTTCTTCCTCTCCTCCTGTGCCAGCTCCCTGCCAAATCCCTCTGGGGCCTTACAGGGAGAATGAGTGGCCCAAGATCCCCCTGTGGGGCTCCCTCCCTCCTCCTCACCCCCTTGTCTTTGTTGAATTCCCTCGGTGTAAAACTGCTCTGGGAGGGGAAGGAGGTTGGACCTGGACCTTACAGTCCTGGAGGCCTTGGCTCTGCCAGAGGCCAGCAAGACAAAAACTTTTCTAAGACTCCACTTGGAACAGGAGAAAGTTTTTCCGTTGGGTTTTTATAGCTCCCGGAAAGCGGGGTTTTATTTTTGTTGTCTAAGACAAAAAAATCCTCTTAGGAGCTGACTACCCATGGTGGTGCAGGGCAGGAGGCTGGGCATGCGCCCTGCTGGGGTCTGGGCTGGGCTTTGCTCTCCCTCCCTCCATCCTGGGGGGTCTCTGGATGCTGATTCCCACAAGGAGAAGAGGAGGGTTTGGTGTCCCTGATGTACAACTGGTCCAGTTCATGTACCCAGTGCTGAGCACCTGTGATGGCTCCTTGCCACCCCTGGAATGTCAGAGGATGCTCCCACCCAGGGACACAGCTGCAGGGAAAAACCTTTTTCCTGGGGAAAGGGGTTATTTCCCACCACCCACAGATGGCTAAACTGGGAGCTCTGGGAGACTGATCTGAATTTTCTGGGTTTGTAGGCTGGGGCCATTGAGCTCTCTCCTGTCACCCTTTCTTTGCATGGCACAGGCTGCTTTTGGAGGGGTTTTGCTGGCAGGGGAGCTGGTTTCCATGGTAAAAACCTTAACAACATCTGCCAGAAATCTGTCTCCTTGTTGGCCCGGCCATCTGGAGGGCACAAGGAGGCTTTGGCAGGGTGAGGAGGTGTCCACAGGCTGCTTTAGGTCCCCCTTTGGTGCTGTTGGCAGCTCAGAGGGATCTCTCCATCAGTGATTTATGTCCCAGGTGCAGGTTTGCCCTGGGCTGCTGGAAGGACCCCAGTGTCACCGAGCCTGGTGGGGACAGGCAGGCTGGGGACATGGAATGGCTCAGGGGGCAGGGCTGCAGGCACTGGGGACGGGTGGATACGCTGTAATCGGATGAGCCAGCGCTGCTCCAGATGGACCTGTCAGCTCTTGTCAGTGCTGACACCCCTCTGCATGTCCCTCAGTGTCCTCTTGGGCCACAGGGGCCACCACCTGTCCCACTTCACCAGGTCTGCTTGGAGCTATGGGGCTGAGAGGTGACACTGTACAGAAAACCCACCAAGCAAGGTCCCTTCCACGCTGCAGTCCCTCCGTGGGTTTTTTTAAATTTTAATGGAAAAAACCTGGTACTTGTATCTGTGTGTTTATCCCTGAGCCATCCTGTGCTGAGGACAGTGGGACCTTGCTGCTTTGCCACCCCTGTCCCCAGGTGCCACCCCACCAGCCCAGATGGATTGCAGCTGCAGAGCAAAGCTGCCACTTGGTGCTTTCCTCAGTGTCCAGATGCCACAGCAGGGCAGCCATCCTTCCCTGTGTGTTTGGCACAGGAGAAGCACTTCAGTGGCAGCAGTGGACCAGGCTGGTGTGGCAGGAGTTGTACTGGTTGGTCTGTGTCCCCAGGTGTGTGGCACAGAGCTTTGCTGTGCGCTGGGCACGGCACACAGATGGATCTGGTTATGTGTGGGCAAATCACCTTGGTGTGTAGGATCCTGGTGTGCTCCAGGGCTCAGCTCTGCACTCCTCTGCTCTTCTCTCCTTAAAGTTGCTCCTTTCTCCTTTCCCTTGCAGCCAACCACCCTCCCCCAGGGCACCATCAACATGAACCAGTGCACGGACGTGGTGGATGGGGAGGGCAGGACAGGGCAGAAGTTCTCCCTGTGCATCCTGACCCCGGAGAAGGAGCATTTCATCCGAGCTGAGAACAAGGAGATCATCAGTGGGTGAGTGATGGTCAGAGCTGGGGCTCAGCCACTCCCAGGCTCTTCCATTAGCCACGAGGAAGAGGAAGGTGGGTAGGTGGCTTTGCATACCCAGGCTGATCCTGGGTGCTGGGGTGACCCCACAGTGCTTTTAGGGATCGCATTCCATCCCATTTTAGGCACCAAGCCCACTGGCACATGTCCCATAATTCTGGGGCTGGCATGTCCAACCCAGAGTGCCATACACCCTCTGATTCTCATCCATTCCTGGGCAGATGTGGAATCCTGGGGTAGATGCTCCCCACCTCCCTGGTCCCAGGGAATCATCTCACCTCCAAGAGTGGTTAAAATGTCACAGGAATGCAGTGGCTCAGTGACACTGAAGAATAGAGTGCTAAAATGAGCAAATCAGGGTAAATTTCCCAACTCCAGGTGTTGGGTGGTGACCTAGAAACATCCTCTTCCATCACTCACATGCCAGCTGGGGTTGAAACTGGGGCTGGTGAAGGTGCAGAGCCCTGGAGAGCCGAGCTGCCAGCACACAGTGACAGAGTGGGGCTGTGCTGCTGCTCACCTGAGAGCCTTTCCCACATGGAGTGCCCGGAGCTCTGTGCCTCCCTCCCAAAATCTGACATTTGAAACTCCAGCAGGAAGGTGAAGGGATGAACACTTGCTCTTTCCCACTGTTCCCAAGGCACAGCATCTCCTGCCTCCCCCAGCCCTGGCAGCAGCAGAGTCAGCACTTTCTGCTGAGATTTCTATTTCCGAGCCTTATCTTCGGTGGAGACTCCCCTCATTCTGTAAATACTTGTTGAAATAGACATCTTTCTACCAAGAATTTGTGATTTTGACCAGATGAGTGTTTTCATACATTGAAATTTCCCTGCCCTACTGAGACAAGAGAGCACAGGTGAGCCTTGGGTTGACAAACCTGTCCCCCCAGCCCCATTCACAGCGACGTGCTGCAGGGGCTGTGGAGCAGAGCCATGCAGAGCCATGTGGGAATCACAGCCCAGGGGAGTGAGCTCCTCTCCTCCCTGGCAGGAGCACTGACTGCCCCAAACCATGGCCAGCCCCATGGCCTGCTCTCTCCACCTTCTCCCCACGCTCTGGTTCCCAGCTCAGCCTTTGTTGCTGGTCCTGCCTGCCGTGGGAGGGAGAGGCATTGCGGAGTGAGGTGGGGCTGATTTATTGCTCATCAGCCCAGCAATGGGTTTTGAAGCAGTGCTTTTGCTCCTGACTGCAGGCATTAATCATCCCCCAGCAGTCCCACTCTGGGGCCGAGCCAGGCTGGTTTTGTTTGCAGTTGCAGCACGACAGGAAGATTTCCCTGGCTGGGGGAGAATTGGTTTCACGTTCATTCTGTGCTTCTGGCGTTCATTGCTTCACCAAACCCCACTTGATGTTGTCATCTCCAAACACTTTACAGCAGCAGTGTGCAAAGCAGGGGGAGAAGGGAAGGGGAGCAGGGACATTTAGGGTGGGAATGTTTCCCAGTGGTGCAGGGATCCCTGTGGAGCTCTCAGAGATGCGGGGGCAGGTTGTCAGGCCACGGTGGGAGGACACAGGACTTCTCAATGCCGAGTTCATGCTGCTCTTCCTTGGACAAAAGCGCTTTGTCTGCAGTGTGCGGGTGTTGGCATGGCTCACGGGGACGGTCCTGCTGGAGGCTCTGTCCCTCTCCACTGTCTTTCAGGATCCTTGAATCCCTGCCTCATGTCAGCCTTGGCTGTGGCCTCACTTTTGCAGAGAGTAGGGTTTGAGCCAAAGCACCCTGGGGTCATCCTTCTCCTGCCTTATTTTCCCCCAGGAGCTGGTTGGGATGGTTTCTGGGTATTGTTCAGCAAGCTGACCCTGACCAGGTCAGCATCACTCCTGTCCCTGTGGCACAGACCTCACCTTCTGCTTCTCTGCCTGCAGGTGGCTGGAGATGCTGATCGTCTATCCCAGGACAAACAAGCAGAATCAGAAGAAGAAGAGGAAGGTAGAGCCCCCAACTCCCCAGGTAACCCAGGGACACACACACACACAGTCACCCAGTCCCTTGCCTCACTCTCAGGGCCGTGACCTTGCTCTGATCCTGGGGTAGATCCCCCCAAGCCATTGGGATCTCCAGCCCTCTGATGCTGCCTGTGTGAGAGCTGGGGCAAGCCAGGACAGCAGATTGGTGTGAATTAATTCCTGGCCATCACTTCCAGGCTCACACACTCCTGCTTTCCTGGCTGCTTTGTGGTGCCACCCCTGCACACAATCCTGGGAGTGGCCACAAAGCCACATGGTCCCCAAGGGGGACCAGGGAGAGGTGCTGTTCATGGGCCTTTTCCTCAGAAACAGGATGAAATTCCATCGGGCTCCAGTTACTCCCTTAGAGATGACCCCAGAGATAATGGGAATGAAAGGAAAATACGAAAGGCCAGGGCCAGGCTGGGAGCTCCGGGGGCCGGAGCTGGGCTCTCCAGGGACCCGCCAGTGGCTTCGTGCTCACTTTGACTATAAATGGTAAAAAGTGGGGCCGGCTCTGACTCACTCGTTCCTGCCTGGCTCCCACGTGGCTGGAATGGGGGACAGTCCCACAGATGGGGAACGTGACCCCAGGGCCACCCTCGTCCCTCGCTGGGGCTGAGAACAGCCGTGTCCCTGAGGCCGCCTGACCTCTGCCTGTGTGTCCCACCACAGGGAGGGCTCCTCCAGCCTTGCTGGGGACCAAAACCAGCATCAGGGCTCCCCTGAGCCTTGGTCAGGGCTCCCCTGAGCCTTGGTTTTCATGTCCTCTTTGATGAAGTTCCAGGGATGGCCCTGGTGCAAACTGGGCCGTGGATGGGTTTTGTACAGTGTTTGTTTGAATAAGTTTTCATCACTCCACTGGATAAAGATGTTCTGGGCAATGGGAAAAATGTTAGTGGGGGGATGATCCTTTTTTGCACACCAGGCTGTAGGTCTGAGCCACCCCTTGCCAAGGTCTGGGGTCCTCACAGCCTGAACAACCCCTCAAGTGCTGGCTCTGGTTATGCTTTAGGGAAAATGCCTCCTCCCTTCATGTTCTCAGTTGTCAGTCCTCAATTCCTAAGAAATGGACTGTCACATTTGGGACACCCCAGGGAGTGGGTGCAGCAGGGCAGGGATCTCACCCTGGCCAGGGTGCACCACTAAACCCAGGCTGGGTTCAGCAGGGGGACGGGGCGGAGACGACAAGAGGCGCAGAGCCAGAAAAACATCATTCTGGGTTACATTTCATCACCATGGCAACTTCTTGGAAACCGTACAGGATCTGAGCTCCTGAGCACCAAATAAGGGAAGCGGCTGTGGGAAGGATGGCGGCTCCCCGTGGGCAGATGGGCTCCCCAGGTGCTTGGGGATGGGGACCAGGACCCTGGTGGCACACTGCCCTCTTGGCTTGGCACAGACCACCCTGTCCTGCTTGCTACCCTCCTTGCACTCTCTCCATCCCATGCCTTCCATCCCCATGGTGCTGGAAAAAGGCTCAAATTCACTTTGCAGAACCAACCTCCATGTGGGAGCTGCTGCTGATGGATGCTGTGCTGTGTCAGGAGCAACCTGCAAAGGCAGAAGCAGCATCTTTCCTCTGTCTCCCACATCCTGCTGATGCAGGTGGCTGGTCCAGGGAAGGAAAGAGGATGCTGAGGAGAAAATCAGCACTGAATTCTCCTCTGTGAAATGGCCTCTCCTGAAGTTGGCTGCTGTTCAGCTTGCTCTCCATGTGCTGGTTGAGAAAGCTTACATTCTTCCTAAAGATGGCCACACACTAATCAGGCAGTAGATCATGTCTTAGAGCTGCTTAGGGAGGGGTGGGCACCTTTGTGATATAAAAAAATATTTTTATATTCTTGCTTTTTCTCACTCTCCATAGCTTTTGGTTGTCTGTGGTACAGCAGACCTTGGTTACAGCTGGATGCTCTTGGAGCATCAAGGTCACTTTCAACTCTCCCCATCATTTTGCATCATCCCTCTGCAAAATCACCAGGGTGGGAGCAATGCAGGGAATACCACTCCTGCTGCAGATTTTTGGACAGGGAGTTTCAGGTGTTTTCAGTTTGCTTTGCAAGCAGGTTGCAGTTTTAGGGGGAAAAGGGCAGGATTCTCTTGCAGCTTCTGCTATGCTCCAGCACTGGGAGAGTCTGGAATGCCTGTGCCTGCCTGCTGCCCATGGGAACCTGAGGTAGGGTTTGGGGCTGAAATGTGGGATTTGAGGCTCTGCCCTGGGTTTGCACAGGGGTGTGGCAGGCTCAGGTAAGCAGAGCGTGCCCAGACACACCTCATGCAACCAGAGGCCGGTTTTGCTGATTTTGGTGCATTCTGCCTCTTGGAGTTGTTCATACCCCTGAGCAGGAGAGAGTTAATGTCTCTTCTCCCTCACAGACTTTCTTTTTGGCCCACATCTCTGCCTAATTAAATACATGTCTACAAATAATTACGTGGGGGTGTGTGTAAGAGATATATAAAGATATATATCCTGAGCTGGTGATTAGCTTTGGGCTTGGATCAATGAAAGGGAGTATAAGGGACCTTGGAGATTGGCCTGATCCTCTGCCTGAGCAGGATGCCCCTGAACTCTGGATCGTTTACCTCCAGCACTGCATTCCTTTAGTGTGAAATTTCCCAAGGGGATTTTTTTTCAAACTGAGGTCATTTGCTGCTTGTCATGGCTGTGTGTGGAGCCAGGACACACTCCCTGGGAGATCCCTGGTGGCTCTGGCACAGCCCTGCAAATGCCAATGGAGGTGCAGGGCTAAAACCCACCTGATGTGGGAGGAGGGGATGGAGAGGATGCTCTTTGCAGCCCTTGTTCCCAGCTTTCAGTTGTCTGTTTGTGCACTCCTGTGTTCCCCCCTGCTCCATGGAAAGGGAACAAGCAGCTGAAAAACTTCCCACAATCCAAAGGGGAGTTAATTGTCATTGATTTATGGGTGGCTTTAAGAAAAATAATCTGTGAAGGCAGAAGTTTAATATGACAACAGCAAAACATCTGCTAATGAACAAAGCCAAGGAAGGAGTTGGGAAAGCTGCTGCCTCTTCTGGGTCACATTCTGAACCTGGGCTGGCTGGGCTGTGGCCACCAAAGGGGCATCATCCATCATCTGATGAGCTCCAGAGCTCCTTGTTAGCAGAGAAGCGCTGAAGATGATGGGGAATGTTTTGAAAGGGTGTAAAGCAGTGACACATGCCACTGTCCTGCTGTGACATGTCTTGGGCAGCACCCAAGCTATGTGGAGCTCACACCTTGGGGCCAAGCCCTTGGGGACCCTGAGTGTGTAGCTGGGGCAAACTGTCTAACTTCCTGTGTCAACTGGTTTTTTTAGGAGCCTGGTCCTGCTAAGATGGCTGTGACCAGCAGCAACATTCCCAGCGCTGAGAAGGTCCCCGCCACCAAGTCCACGCTCTGGCAGGAAGAAATGAGGGGCAAAGACCAAGCAGATGGGGGCAGTGGCATTGGCCCAGCCCAGAGCCCCATGCAAGGCCAGGCTGGGGCTGCCAGCTCCATGAAGGACCCTGTGCTGGACAGCAAGGAAGGTGAGAGATGGGGTGGATGAGGTGTCCATTGCCTTGCACCCATGGAGCTGTGGTTGCCAGGCTGGGAAGGACAGAGATGGAAATGCTTGCAGAGCTGTGACTACAGTTACCCATTTCTTGGTTTGAAAGTTTAGTTCTTTCACCTGTAGAAACTTATCCCAAGGGTTGGATCAGCATCCCCAGTTCCCTGCAGACTATCCCACCATCTCCCATGGGCATGAGGGCTGCTCAGAGTGGAAAAGCCAAGGGTGCAGGAGGTAGCATTGCATGGTGCTGGTGCCCAGACCAACTTTGCTCTCACACCTGCCCCTGTCCTGGGTGGAATCAGGGTGTTTCTTTCTTAAAAGCAGAACTTGGACTCGAAACCAAGCATGGTGACTTCTCTGTCCCTTAGAGGAGAGCTCCATGAACGGGGACCGGATAGACTGCGGGCGGAAGACGCGTGTCGAGAGCGGGTACTTCTCCTTGGAGAAGACCAAACAAGACTCGAAGCTGGAAGAGCAGCAACTGCCACCCCCACCAAGCCCACCCAGCCCCAGCACCCCGAACAACAGGTACAGTTATCCCAAATCGCCCTCACAGGAGCATGCCCAGCCCTTTCCTTCCCCAGGTATCCGATCAGGCGACCGAATGATTCACAGCTTCTCTCTGAACTCCTTGGACTCGAAGAGCAGTTGCCCCATGCACAAGGACTCCAACAGCAGAGATGTGGGAAGGGGAGCTGAGAAATCGGGGCGGCCCCTTTCTTTTAAAGCCAGCCGGCAGTACACCACCCTGGCCGACGTTCCCAAGGCCATTAGGATCAGTAATCGTGAGGCCTTCCAGGTGGAGAGGAAGCGGCTAGAGCGGAGAACCCGCGCTCGTAGCCCTGGCAGAGAAGAAGTGGCCCGGCTCTTTGGGAATGAGAGAAGGTAAGGGATGAGTGGCTCATCTCCTTGCATGCTTTGCAGCAGCACTGAGGTTGCGTTCCCAGCGCAGCCTGGATGGAGCAGGTGGAATTTGCTGGGTGGAGCTTCTTTGTTTTTCAGTGCTCCTGGGTTTAAGGGTGCCCATCCTTGCTGACCAGGTGGTGGGATGTCTTTAATAGTGGTAGTGGGCAGGTGTCACCCTGCGTGGCTGCTCTGGGGATATAGAATGATTTGGGTTGGAAAGGACCTTAAAGTTCATCCAGTTCCATCCTCTGCCATAGGCAGGGACACCTTCCACTATCCCAGGGTGATCCAAGCCCCATCCAACCTGGCCTTGGACACTTCCAGAGATGGGGCAGCCACAGCTTCACTGGGCAACCTGTGCTAGTGCCTCCCCACCTTCACAGGGAAGAATTTCCTGCTAGTATTTAATGTAAAGCTGCCCCGGTGTTGGGTGGTGTTGGGTGGTGTTGGATGCCCACCCTGGTGGCACACGCTGGCAGCCAGCACCAATAATTAGGTTAGCTCTCCTCGTGGCGTTAGTGCCAGGTGCCTTACGCAACTGCCTAATGAGCTGAGAGAGGTTTCAAAATGTCACAGCATTAATCTGGGAGGGGAGGGAGAGGTGGGTGCAGTGCCAAGGCAGGGCTCAGCAGGCTGCAAAACAGCTTAGTGTGGAGGAGGACGGGGAGGGCGAATGCAGCACACGCCGGGTGCCCTCTGGGCGAGGCCAAGGATGGGCTCCCCTCGCCCTGGGAGAGACACATTTGTGCAGTGAGGGCAGTGGAGCAAGCTGGGAGACAGGCCCTGGGCGAGAGGGCTGCCTGCCAGTCTGATTTCCCTGCCCTGCTTCTCCTCCGGGCATGTCCTCTCTCGCACAGTTGCAGTAGGAGCTTCTCCTCTGCTCCTTCCCAGCCCCTAAAGGATTGTTTTCCAGACTGGCTGGGAGAGCTGGGAGCAGCTCTGGGATCTGCTTGTGCAGGTGCCATCAGTCGGCAGGAGGATCCCAAACCTGGCCCAGAGTGTGTGCAGGGAGTGCTGGACTGGGTATAAATGAGTAAAGCTTGGGTTTGGCTATGTCTGCCTTGGGAATTGGCTTTTCCCCAGGATGGAGGAGGAGGATACCACCTTGGCCATCCTGGCCAGGGGCAGGGCTGAGAAAAAGCTGGTGGCTCTGGTTATCAGGCTGAGTTGGTGCTGCCTGTGACATTGGGTCCCTGCTGCCTTTGCTTGCACAGGATGCCCTGGCAGTGCCTGTCCCCACCCTGACAGAGCAGGGCATTCCTCCAGTGCCTACAGTCCCTTGCCCTGGGTGTCCTGAAGCACTGGGATCATCCTGCATGGAGCTGGGGAGCAGAATTATAACAGATAACAGGGCCTGGGAGAGGACACTGCTGCCAGAGTCTGTCCTTTTTTGTCAGCCCCACTCACTGCCTGCTGGTGGGTGCCTTTTCCCAGGGAAACTGTTTTTCCCAGCCTGGCTTAGGCTGTTAACATTATTTTTGCTTTATCAGTATTGGCAGCAATCCCCTGCATCAGCCCAGGGCTTTTATCAGAGCAGAAGGGGTGCAGGGAGAGGAGCAGGAGCTGCACCAGGCACTGGGGTCTTGCTGCCCACAGGGCTGAACCTGGTCCAGCTTTTGGGAGGGGGGTGATGGCAGAGAGAAAGGGGAGGGGTCCCCACCTGCCAGAGGGTTTGGCCGTGGATCACAGCCCTCGGTGCTGGAGGAATGTGCCATGAGCAGGGGTGGCTCAGTGGGTGTTCAGGGATGGGCACATTTGTTTTCTCCTCTGGTAACCTGGGAATTGGCCGTGCAGGTGGTGTGGGTGGAGAGGCCCTGGAGTTGGGACAGCCATGTTGGAGCTCAGTGGATCCAACAGAACACACAGACACTGTCCAGTGTTGCACCAGAGAATTAACATTCCCCAGCACTCTGCTCAGCTTGGCTTGGCTGCTTTTAACTCGAGTTTACTTAGTCCCTGTGTCCCTCTCATTTTTCTCCTCTGAGCTCAGACTGTGCTGTTTGAGGCTGGGCAGATACAATAACTCATTTCCATGCTGTGGGGTTGGCTTTTCCCCCTGGTTTAACCCCATTTGTAATAATCCTTCTCAGTAACCCACTAACATGTCGGGGAGCACTTGTCCCATGCCAACCCCACAGGCAGCAGCCAGGCATCGTGCAGATCTGCCTTTCAGTGCAGCCAAATGAACTCACTCAGATTCTGTTGGTATTTTCAGCTCTTCCTCCCATTTTTTTTGGTGTGTAAATCAGTGCAAATGTCAGTGCTGTGGATGGAAAATAATTATTTCAGGTACCCAGTGTTGCATCCTGAGTGCCACACCTGCAGGCTTTGCTCCAGATAAAGCCATTTGTCGAGGCTTTTCATCCTGCTTCCTTATCACAAGAAATATTACATGTTAAAGGCCAGGAATTTTCTGTGCTGACCATTTATAGCTGACTCTGCCTCCATGCAGACATCTGAGCTTGCAGCCACTCAGAATCAGCAATCAGGAAACAGGAGATAATCTCCACGATTTTGGCAGAGCAGCAGAGTGCGAGTTCCCTCTGCTGGCACGTGGCAGGACAGGGCTGCAGCACCCAGCAGGATGTCACACTGGCCTGGGGGACAGGGATTGAGGCCAGAGAGGTGGAGCCATCTCCAGTCTCCCCTGTCACACCCATCCCTAGGGCAGAAGGGCAGGGGCAGCTCTTTGGAAACCCCATGGATGAATCTGGAGGTGTTGCACACAAAAATCACAGCTGAAGAGAGCTGCAGGGATGTCCTTAGACAGCAGTCCCCATGTCCCAGAGAGACTCTGCAGCTGCAGGGATGCATCCCTGCACATCTCAGGATTTCTGTTTGACAAACTTGGGGTTTTGTGCACAATTCCAGGGGTGCAGCCTGTAAAACCACAGCTTTCCCAGTTGACCTGATGTTCTTCTCACCCTGCCAAGAGTTCACTGTGGTGTCAGCCACATCTGCTGTAGGAATGTGGTCAGGGGCTGAGGTGTATTTCCAGCATCAATTAATAGCAGAATTGCCTGAAATTGCTTAAAAGACTTTTTTTGCTCTAATTCCTTCTCTGGAATTTCTTGAGGTGTAAAGCTCTGCTCTGAATTCTGCTTCTCCCTATACAGAGGAGTTCCTGCTCTCCCAAATACAGGTTTTTTGTCTTGTAAAACTATCCTCATCATTCTGGTGGACCTCTTGGGAAATGCCTCTTCCTTTTCCTGACACTCTCTATTTTTCTTGATGCTTAATAATGAATGAATCCAATAAAAATAAAGGCCTTTCTTCCAATCAAAGAAAATCACTTTAATGACAGCTCCTCCTGGTCTTTTGAGCTTTCCTTCCCACTGCACACCCCCTCCACTAACAGCTGAGATCTGCAGCCTGGGTTTAGTGGCCTGGAAAAGATTAACAGCCTGCATGGCCAAGGCATTCCTTGGGATGAGCTTTTGTAGTTAAAAAGCACTAAATGGCACTGCAGCTTTTAAAAAGCTTCTCCATACCTGTCCCAGCCTTGTTTTGTCCACCCAGAGCTGCTGTGCAGGAGGGAGCAGCTCAATCCAACACGTGGGGAGAGGAGGAGAGCCCTTCCTTCCCCATCCCTCCAGGATCTCTGGCAGTAACCTCTCTGAAATGTTGATCTAATGGGAAAAAAAACCCAAAATCTTTCCTGTAATCTGGATGATATTAACCCTTGGGGCTGTGATTTGTTGCAGTGATTTATTTTTCTCCTCCTTTTTTTCAATGATGAATGACTGGAATGATTTTGATTTTGTTTTGTATGTAGATGCAGATATATATAATTTCCTCTTCTGTTCATTCATTTTCCAGCCTTGTTTTCTTCCAGGTCTTGTTGCTCTCCACCTTCTCCTGCTGTGTTGCTGTGTGACGTGTCCACCTTTACTTCGCCTGCTTCGCTACCATCTCATCTCAATCTCAAGCCGTAGAACAACCTGGTGGTGCAGCCCCTTTCATGAGAAATCAACCTGCTTTTGATTTTGTTTTTATGGTTTTTTTTTTTTTTGGTTGGGTTTTTGTTTTTTTTTTTTTTTTTTTTTTTTTTTTTTTTTTTTGGTTGGGTTTTTGTTTTTTTTTTTTTTTTTTCCTCTTGATTTGTTTTTCTTCAGACCTTCACCTAATAGGGCACAGACAATGTTAATTCATGGACTTTTTCCTCCCTTCTGAACTGAGACTCAGAGAAGGCTGGGCCAGTATAAAAAGGGTTAAGAGAATGTGTCTCCAAAACAGTTCCCTGTGTGTCAGTGAACACAGAACATGGATTTATGCTCCACAGCCTGGCCTGTGTCAGGCTTCTCATGAGCAGAGCATCCCAGGGAAATCGGGAGCTCTGTACGAGCCTGGGATTGCAAACTGGGAGGCATCAGGGGATGAACAGATGTCCCCTAAAAGCATCAAAGATCTTTAAATTTACAAAGCAATGTCTTCCCCACCAATTTTGTCCCTTCCTCTTTGGTTGTGTCCTGGCAGCCTGGCTCTGAGCAGCAGTGGGAGCCCCAGCCCCCCAGGAGATGGGATGTGCTCAGACTGGTTGTCTCATTTACAGAATTTGGTGCAAATATTGGTTGAAAACTGAACATCTCATGGTATTTGAACCCTTAACCTGCTGTTCCTCTTTGTGGAAAGTGTTAAAAATGTTTTTGTTTTGGATAACCTGTTATCCCTCATGTGGTTGCCATTGTGATTTTCATGCACATCAGAGGCTCACACAGAGCAAGCAGCCCCAAGTTTAGATGTGGCACATGTGGGTCCAAATTTTGTTTTAAGAAACCACCTGGACAGAGCTTTTTGGGCAGGTTTAAAATGGAACTTTAAGCCTCACAGCTTGGAGCACAGCTGCCATGTGCTGGTGGTGGGTTATTGCTTTATATTCCCAGTTTGTGATTGAAGACCTGAGGCTGATACTTTCCTGCAAACTTAGACACGAGCAGATTCTTTGGAAATTCCTCTCCTGTGGGTCAGCAAGCAGTTCTCATGCTGAAACAGCACTTCTGATTCTACCTGTTTGCTTATCTTTAAGAGAATCCCATTTGGGTTTGATCCAGGGTTGGCTCCTGCTCCATCTAAATTTCTTCATAGTTCTCCATCCTCAGAGACACAAGTGCCACGGTGCCATGGGCCACCAAGGCAATGTCTGAGAGCCCAGGTCATGCCCCCTGGTGTCCATCCAGACTGGATTTTCAGCCCAGTTAAGAGGAGGGAAAGGCCCCAGGTTCTGCAGGGAGTGCCCTTCCATGGTACAGGGTGCTCCTTATCTCCTCAGGCCCTTTCAGCTGGTGCATCCTGTGAGCCAGAGCTGTGGACACCCCTTGCTCACTGCAATCCTGTGGTTGTTCCCCACGTGGGGCTCAGTTTTCAGAGGGTTCCTGTTGCAGTGAACACACTGGGAGACCCAGAGCCACCCATTACCCCTGCACCAAAGCTTGGTCCGATGTGTCAGTGTTCTGGGGAGCAATTGAGAACCCCAGTGCTAGAGGGTAGAGGCAACATTTAAGCCAAAGCTACTCCATAACCCCTACTTCCCAAGGGGCTGTAAAAGTCACAGATAAAAATTGTGTGAGGGGTTTCTAGTTGCTGAAGGAGCTGCTAGGTGCAGAGCTGAATAATGTGAGGTTTTCCCCCACTTTGTGGGTAAAATGATGTCAGTTCAGGGTTTTTACCCTGGATTTGGCCATGTCAGAGCTCACAGAGAAACAGGGACCAAAAGCCGGGTGTGCATGAACTCTGGGTCAAGCAATTCTGCCACCTTTAACTTGTGGGGTTATACAGCTCCACCCAGTTGCTGCTCTTGTGTTTAAAGCATGTCTGGTTTCCCTTTTGTCCCTGTTTTGCAGGAGATCCCAGGTGATTGAGAAATTCGAGGCACTGGATATTGAGAATGCAGAGCACATGGAGACGAGCGCGCCGGGAGGCGCCGCCCTGTCCAGCGAGACGCGGCAGGGCAGGAGTGAGAAGAGGGTTTTCCCAAGGAAACGGGTAAGATCCTCAGCCAGGCAATCCTGAAACATGAAACCTGGAGTCCTGCAGCCAGGATAGAGGGTTTAGCTGCAGGGTTTGTCCCTGGATGTGGATTTGGAGTCCTGCAGAACTGCTGTGTGTGCTCAGTGTGGGTGAATTTTCCTGCTCTGCTCCCTTGGCCCAGGGAGATTGGAGTGGAAAATCAGGCTGTCTCTTCTTTCTTCTTAATACAAAGGGAAACTTCAGATCTGGCATGGCAGGATACATCAGGATAGGGTGAAGTAACAAAAGAAACATGTTTGAGAGTCCCAGATTTGCTTGGGTATAATGGGAACAAATTAATGCCTGAAAGGACAAAAAATGTATTGCTAAGGAAATGACACTTGTTCTGAGCCTGAGATGCCCCTTAAATAAAGCAGATTTTTATGCCATGAGCCAAGAGAGCAGGACTCTGTCCTAGTTCCTGCACTGATCTGGGCTAATGCTGTTCACACAGGACTTCACTTGTGAGGGAGCAGCCGTGGGCTCCATCCTGGACGTGTCTGCGTCACCTCTGTCCCCACACCGCAGGGCAAAGTCACTGGACAGAAGGTCCACGGAGTCCTCAATGACGGTGAGCCACCAGGGGGGTGTCCCCTGCCTTGGGGAAGGACGTGAGAGGCCCTTCCCAGCAGGTGCCACAAAAACTGGACTGTTGCTGCTTTCCTCACATGGGATGTGGGATACACTCAGACTTGGAGCAGGTTCAGGGACCTGAATCAGGGGTGACCAATGCAGAAAGCCTCAGGGGCCCAGCTGGAAAAGGGCCACACTTTTTGCCTGTTGCAGAAATTAAAACTCAGAGTCTTGTGAGGAGCACTTTTCCTTAAAGTACAGCAGCAGCTTGGGAAGCAGACCCTGCTCTGGATATTTTCCCCTTGAATACCCCATTTCCTCCATGCTTTGTGTGATGTGTCAGCACTCATGCTGTAGGTCACCCTGGAATTGCTGGGGTCACCTCACCTGGCCACAGCCCCTCTTTGCCCCGTGGTGTCCCCCAGCAGAGGCTGCAGCAGGGCATTTCCAGCTCAGCAGAGACTCAGTCCAGTTTCTGGACTTGGACCAGCTGCTGTGTCATGACTGTGGTATTTTCATAGGACCACAGAATCCCAGAATGGTTTGGGATGGAAGGGACCTTAAAGATCATCTTGTTCCAACTCCCTGCCAGAGGCAGGGACACAGACCAGGCTGAGCAAACACATGTCCCAGTTTTCTAATGCCATTTCCTTGATGTTTATGCAGTTGGAAGTGGGTGTGAGTGGGATGAAGGCTGCAAGGAAGGGCTGAACCTTCCCTCCTGAGCTTTCCTCCCTTTGCATATTTCAAATGCTCACCAGACCTGGAGGCAAACAGTACAGAATAAACACAAAGTACTCTCCTCTCCCTCACCACCCTTCTGTAGGGACAAAATAAATACACTTGCTAATCTCTCAAATAGATTACAGAGCTACTGTAAATACAAGTTGCATTTTTTGTGGATGGACAGCTTCTGTTCAAGGACTTATCAGAAAAATGCAGTAGCTTGGTGTTTCTGGAGCTTTTCCTGTATACTTCTACAGCCACAAGAGTGATTTTTAAATTCTTGGTGGGAATAAAAAATGCAAGAAGTGCATATGAAGTGGCAATGCACATTATCTAGTAAAGGGAAGAAAGTCATGCAGGTTTAGATTAGATATTAGGAAGAAATTCTTCCCTGTGAGGGTGGTGAAGCACTGGCACAGGTTGCCCAGAGAAGCTGTGGCTGCCCCATCTCTGGAGGTGTTCAAGGCCAGGTTGGATGGGGTTTGGAGCAGTCTGGGATAGTGGAAGGTGTCTCTATCCATGGCAGGGGGTTGGAACAGGATGATTTTACCGTTCCTTCCAACCCAAAACATTCTATAATTCAATATTTTACTTTCCCCTGTGTTTTTGGGGAGCAGGACTGGGTTCCCACCACCACAGGATCACTCACATATGGGATGTGCTGCCCCATAGGTTTGATTGAATAAGCTCCCAGACCCAATTTCCACTGCTGCCCTTGCTGTAGCCCATTTCAGAGCTGCAGCTGGGTTTCACACACTGCTGTGTTTTCCTCCTGCACTCTGCAGCACGTGGAGCAGCTGGAGGAGCTCAGCCTCGGGGGAGTGAAAGCATTTCCACCACATCCTTCCCTGCACACAGCAGGGCTGGGAGGAGGGGCTGGCAGCACTTATCCCACGCTGTCCTGCTTGCTTTCTACAGGAATTCAACATCCCCATGCACCCACATAGGAGGGAAAAGCAGGTGTCATTTGGGTGGTGCAGGGCTCAGATTCCCTGTATTTCCAGCCTTGGGAACTCAGCCTGTTTTGAACCCTGCAGCCTTGCATCAATAGCACATCGTTTTTCTTTCGTAATATATAATAGAGGGTGAAACTGCCTGAAGTCTTGCTAATTCCTTGTTTATCCTTTCTCTGCAATGCTGGTGTAGCAGTAGGAAATTGCAGGAGAAATGATAGGAAGGGAACAGGCTGAATAAACTGAGTGGAGGTCTCCATTCCTCCTGGGAGCAAACATTTAGCCACCATGCAGTGTAATGATTCAGCTTGGGGTAGATGACCTTTAAAAGGCCCTTCCAACCCAAACTATTCTATGATTCTATGAATTTAACTGGCTTTGGTCTCTTTCATTGCTCTGCTGGGTTTTATCAACTGCTGTTGCCTTCTGGGCACAGACACTTCTTCCCTCTCCTGATCCCTCTCTCCTTTCTTCCAGCCCGACCTGCTGAACTTCAAGAAGGGCTGGTTGACAAAGCAGTATGAGGATGGGCAGGTGAGTCAGGAGAAAGCTCTGCCCTTCATGTCAGTGTTTGGTGCTGTGGTCAGTCCTGTTTCTGGCAGTTCACTCTAACATCCTGTGTTGGCACCACATGGAGCAGCTCTCAGTGCTGATGGAGCCCCAGTGTCCTGGGCAGATCAATATTGCTCTTCTCTCAAAGTGGGAATTGCTGTTGCTCTGTCCTGGGGAGGTTTCAGAGGTGGATATCACATTGTGGGTTTCTAGGGAGCCAGGGCAGCTTGGATGGCAGCACTGGTTTCATGTTCCTGTTCCCTATTTATTACTCTCGTCTCCTGTGCAACCCAGCGACCTCTTTGGTGTCAGAAGTGAGGCTCAGGTAAAGTCTCCTGAGTGCCAGGGAAATGGCAATAAGTAAATAAATAAATAAATGGCTCTGAGGGAAGCAGCTGGTGCTGCTTTCCTGCTGCCAATTCCCAGAGGGATGCAGGGTGTTCTGCTCTACTGGAGCCTTAGGGGTGGGCACTGATGCCAATGCAGCGTGGATAGCCCTGGCTGTTTGCAAACAACCCCTTCCCTGCATTTCCTTCCCTCCTACTCAGCTCTCAGGGAAAATAAAGGCAGTTTGCCTGTGGCTGTGGCTGGCCCAGGCTCTGCTGTGGGTACCCCTGGGTCCAAGGACACATCCATAGACAGCCAAAGGGGAATTGGCAGCTGGAGCAAGTCCTTTATTGACTGAGAGATGCCAGGGTGAGCCTGTGCTGGAAGCATTCAGGAGGCAGATTTGTGTAGAAGGAAGTCTAGGAATAGACTTCCAACTAATTTTCTAGGTACTGTAAATAAAATATGAATGTCTTACTACTTTTTTTGTGCTAAAATGGCTTTAAGTGCAGTCCCTAAAAGCCTCATCTTGCAGTGGAGCTAATGGGGAGGCTGTGACTGCCCTGTGGCTCTCATGGTGTCACTGTCACATGCAGCGTCTGGTACTGTGCAGGGTGACAGCAAACCATCACTGTCCCTTGCACTGCTGCCTGTTTGGGTCTCCCCTTTCCCATGGAGTGGCCTTGATGAATCCATGTGTGGAGCTGGGAGGGACCGAGCTGCCTCCTGCAGGGCAATTCTGATGGTCGACCTGTGACAAGCAGCCATGAATATGGGAAAGGAGCAGGATTGTAACTGCTCCATCTTTGTTTTTTCCTAGTGGAAGAAGCACTGGTTTGTGCTGACTGACCAGAGCCTGAGATACTACCGGGATTCAGTGGCAGAGGAGGTGAGTGTCTTCTGTCAGTGTTCAGCCCATTACAGAGCAGCTCCTGGTGCTCCCAAACGGATCCTGGGCAGGTCACTGCCTCCTTCAGTGCCCCCATTCCCAGATGTCAAAGTCCTGGAGCCCCTTCAGGGCTTTGTGCTTCTCAGGGGCCTGCTGTGCCTTCCTGCAAGCCCACCATGCTTTGGGGCTGCAAAGCTTGGTTGCTTATTTTACCTCTTCCCTCTGCAGGCAGCTGACCTGGATGGAGAAATCGATTTATCCACGTGCTATGATGTCACTGAGTACCCAGTTCAGCGGAACTACGGCTTTCAGATCCATGTAAGGAAAATGTGGGGAGCAGGAAGAATCCAGCTGCAGGACAGCTAATGGGGATACTTGTCCATGACAAGGGGAACATCTCCCCAAACACCCAGGAGAGGCCACTCAGCATCCCCCCACAGTGCTCCAGAGAGCTGTGGCCTTGGGTTTGAGAGCCAGTTTTTGACTGTCAGAAAAGGAAGGGGGAAAGTGAAGATTTTGTCACAGGCTTAGGGTCTCACCTGTGGCAGAATCATCCTGATTGCTGGGAAATGCCAATTCCCACTGGGACTGTGCTGGGGGACAGAGGGGCTGGGTTTGACCTCTGTGCAAGTAGTGCCCTAGCACTGAGGGCTTGGGGATGGGTGCAGGGTGGTCCTGGGGAGTTGGGAAGCTGCTGGTGGGTACAATCACCTGCTCTGAGCTGTTTTTTCTCTCTCTGTAGACAAAGGAAGGGGAGTTCACCCTCTCTGCCATGACGTCGGGCATCCGCCGCAACTGGATCCAGACCATCATGAAACACGTTCGCCCCACCACCGCTCCTGATGTGACAAGGTAAGGGGGGGCTGTAGCAGCCCCTGCAGCTCTGTGGTTTGCTGTGCAGGAGTAACTCATCCCTCATCCCTTTTCTTTCCTCTCTCTGAGCCTGTCTGTTCCTGGAAGCTGCAGCTTTTTCTCACTTCTCTCTGAGCTTAATTTGGATACGCGTTGTGGGGACGCTGATATGCCGAGTTATTCTTACACATGCAGATTTCAAAGAGGGTTGAAAATGTGGTTTTAATTTGTGCATAGGAATATGAAACACTGTTCCTATATCAAGGCTCCTCTGGATTCCCACCAGGTATTGTGAAACCACTTGGATTCAGTTGTGCTGGGTTCACCCTTTCCTCTGGCTACTGTTCAGCACGAGCTGCCCAGCCCCTCTATGGGTCACAGCAGCAGGAGCTCAGGGTTCAGTTTAGAAACTGTTTGGCTCTGATCTATTTTAAACTCCAGCCAGGAAATCATCCTCCCTCCTCTTCTGATCTTGCTGAGAGCTGCTGCAGCTCGTCCCCCTTACGCTGTAGTAATGCTGGTGTCTCCTCCTGCGTCAGTGCCAGAGGAAGGGGACCTCCTGCGTCACAGAGTACCTTCTGTGGGCGCTTCTGGCTGTGTGTACTGGGTGTTTGGCCTCCTCACAGCTGTCTGTGCTGGCCACACTCACACAGGCCACTTCTTACAGGCTGTGTGGACACAGCTACACCACTAACTCCATCTCCTGTCCTTACTGTAGCTGCAGCCAGCAGGTTCTTGTCAGGTTTGTTCCTGTGTTGGTGGAATGGCTCTTCTCACCCAGTGCTGTTGACCTGGAGATGCTCCAGCTTCTCCTTCCCCATCCTGCTTCGCCCTCAGCCATTGTTTTCCCAGCCGTGCCTGAGCTCTGATGGATATCACAGGGGTCTCATGGAAGCTGCCTCTCTCCTCACTCCTGTGTATGTTTGATTTCCATGCAATCCCAGGAAAAACTTCTCTTTGAAACTATCCGTGCTGAAGCCCAGGTTGGAAAACTGTGTTCTCTCCTGTATTAACGTTCTGTGGTTTGTATATCTCGTGATTCACTGCATGCTCCTCCTTTTCTGCACCTCGGATGGGAAGTCCTGCAGTTTCCATTTATTTTTCTTTCTTTTCTTCCCCCCCTTCCTTTTTTTTTTTTTTTTCCTTTAAATAAAAACCAGAGAGAAGGGAAGAAGCAACCTGGTCTTGACCCTTGATTTCCCCACACTGGTATCTTCCGATGTGACTAGATACGAAGATGAAGACCAAGGAAATTTGAGGGGACCTCTCTGCCTTTAAAGAGCCAGATGTATTTATGGTTGCTCACAGGTTACTGCAGCACGATAGCCCTGTGCTCACTGTCTGCACCTGCTCCAAGCCCACACAGAGTGGTTTCACTTGGCTTTCCCTCTGAGAGGGTCCAGGCGCAGGTCCCTGTTGGGTAGTAACTTGTTACACTGCACAAACAGACTGTGAACCAATCCTGAGCTGGGAAAAGGGAATGATGTGTGTGTGTGCTTCTGTGGTTTCCCACCCAGCTGGTGCCGTGGGTTAGTCACGTTGCTGGAGTCCTGCTCTGTGTGTGCAGCAGGGCTGTGTTCACTGGTGCCTGCCTGGCAGCCCTTTGCAGCAGTGTGGGGTATCCCAGCCCATCCCACCTGGCTTTGGGATGCCATTGCATTCTGCACCAGGGAAGCAGAGGGTGAAGGGGGCTGCTGGAAGGACAAACTGCCCAAGGCTCAGCATGGAGGGATGCTGGGTGTTGTGCTCGATGTGTCAGGAGGGCAGCAGTGCTCATCCACCCTCAGGGATGGTCCCACACACTCCTGCAGCCCTCAGATATGTCTCATTAACCTGCTGCCGTGGTTCCACCCAGCCAAACACTCCTTGTCTTGGTTTCTTGAGCCCTAATGATGGTTTACAGTGCTGCATGTGTCAGCACCCGGCATGGGCAGCAGATGCTGCACTGCTCCCTGCCCTCAGCAGTGCCCTGCAATCTGCAGAGGCACTAATTGCAGTTTGCTAATGATGATGGGGCAGATAGAAGATACCCCCATGAACAAAAGTGGCTGCTTCAGAACTGGATCCATGTTGAGCTCACAGCCCTTGTGAGGCTGGGTTCCCCAGTGCTCCCCAGTTCCCTGCAACCTCTGTGCTCTTCTTGCCACAGCGTGCTCAGCTTGCAGCTTGCACCACTCCCACCCCTATTAAAAAAAGCCTTTGTATTTTAACCTATGAATACCATTGGGAGGCAAAGATCACCCCCTTCCTGTGTGATATGAATTAATTTCTCTGTGGTGGAGGAGATGTGAAATGGTTGAGCAGAATTAATAGCCGTGGGGCACTTGCAGGAGATGAAATGAGAAACTTTGGGTCAACCTTCTGAGTGTCTTCACCTCATTCCCAGCAGCAATCCCTCTGCTCCCTGACCCACATCCCGTGCCCTTTGGAAAGCAGCAGAGGAGAAATGAGCTCGTGAGAGATGTCACCTCTAGAAATGCCAAGGTTCTTCCATGTGGGATTTAGAGCAGCAAAATATCTGTGTCCCAACACCATATGGCAGGCCCCAGGACCCCCATTTCTTTACTAACACTCTTCTCCATTTTAAGACTCATTCTCATCCCTGCTTTAAAATGCAGCTGTAATCACTAACTGATTCCAGATTGAGAGGCTGGCTTTGGAGTCGTGCAGTATCATGGGTGAGGAGCAGTGACATTTCATCATTGTGCCTTCTGGGTTTATTTTATTAGCTGCAAGTGACAGCACAGAAGAAGGAATTATCTCTGAGCTGGTTTTAGCCTGTAACTGCCAGAGTCTCTCCAAACCCAGCTCTACTGAGCCTGTGGTTTGCTGCTGGATGACAGTGCATCGGAAGATACTAGCCCACACAGAGCCATGTCTTCTGCTCCATGCTTTGTTCTGGGCATATGCACATCCATGAGGTTCTTGGCTGGGGCTGGGGTGTGTTTCTGAGGTGAGAGAAGCTGTGATGCTGCTGCTGCTGCTGCTGCTGCTGCTGCTGCTGCTGCTGCTCCTGATCACAGAAGTCCCCAGATCTGCTTCTGATCACAGAAGTGCATGTGGTCCCATGGGTCAGAGCCTGGAGTGAAGGGCCCAGTGAGCTGCTTTCCAGCTCTTGCACAAAGCTTGTTGAGTCCCTGCTGGAGGCTGAGGATGCTGTGGTTGTATTGGAAGCAGGGAGAGCCAGGAGTCAACCTGAGCAGCAGGACTGTGCCTTGGGAGGCAGCTTTTGGAGGTTTGGGCAGCAGAGAGAGTTCAGCAAGTGCCCACTACTCCCTTGAGGCAGGCTTCCTCCACAGACTTAGCATACTGCCGTTTTCTGGTTTAATTTTGATCTGCATGTTACAGGGCTGGCATGTCCATATTTAATAAGCTAATACTGCATTATGGATTATCTGTAGGTTAGAAATGGTATTGCCTTCCCCTATTAACTTCCCCTGCTTGATGAGTATGTCTCCCTCCTCAACCCACCACCCTCTAACTCAGCACTAAAAATCATTCCTTGCTTGAGAAATTGGCATTTTCAGTGATTTCTGTGGTGTGTTGAGTAACGTGCTCTCCTTGCTGCACTCACCCCTGCCCATGTCCAGGGGCTGCCCAGTGCCAGGGGGCTGCCCATGCTGCCTGTGGGGCTGGGTGCCCTGGGGAGATCTGTGCCTTCAGTGCAGATAGTGGCACAGAGAAGTTATGGACCCATTGATACTTTTTGAAGCTGAAGGGGAACCTTAGCCTTGTTTCCCAAGACTCTCAGAGCTGCTCTGTGCTTCTCCACCCCACAGCTCCGAAGCCAGCCTGGCTTTGGTGGGATTGGTGGCATCTTTCCCACAAGCACGTGACTATGGGTTGTGCATGGAGCCCCACAGCCTGGGGGCTGGAGGAGCTGTTGGAACCTCTGACAGCACAGTTTGGGGTCGCTGCCTCAGCCATGGGTTGCTGCTTGCTCATGGTCACTCCAGTGTGGCTGCCGAGGAGGAACAAGGTTGGGATCAGCCTCTCTCCGGGTGCCAGGGTGTCCCAGGAGCAGCTGGGGCTGCTTGCACCAAGGCTTTGCACACCAGCACATCCTGGGCAAGGGCAGCAACAGCTCCTGTGCCCGAGGGGAGATGGAGGGGCAGGGGCACCCACGTGGCATTGGCTTGGGCTTCCAGCAGCCCTTTCCCACCCGGCTCTTGGAGGCATGCATGGCAGCGCCTGGCTGTCCCCAGCACCCACTGACACTTTCCTTCACCCTCTCTCTGTCCTCACAGCTCGCTGCCGGAAGAGAAAAGCAAAACAGGCTCTTCCTTCGAGAGCGGCCCAAAGCCGAGCGAGAA